GTATAGGCAGGCTAGCGTTGTTTTCATGCAAACATGACGACCAGATATTACTCCAACTTCTAGCAAGATGTAAAATCAGATTTATATTTACTTGGAAGTGATCCCGGTCGTGACAACCGACTCCCGTCGACGCTCGCTGTCAACCGCGCCTACGCAAAGTGTGACCACCTATTTACAACCCGAATTAGTGCATGTAAACATTAGTCTGAGTTTACATTTGTGGTTAGGCTTTCTGCACAGACTACAATAACCTGCCGACCAACCAAATCAAGGGATGGGGGATGGGTTCAGTGCTCCTATACTGCCTTCAGAGGTCAAGAACTAAGTTACACTGTGGAATTTTTAATACTCTGGGTTAAATAAAAGTACCCAACCCTCCCCAAAGTGTTGTTGTGCCGAACATTGATGAATAGGGTATTCCAATGGAGCGCGGAGCGGAAGCAAGAAGAACAAAAACGGAACGTGGAAAGGCGCCCGCGCCGTCCCCCTCTCCTCTAGTAGACGGAGTGGGGGATCGCCCGGGCAGGAGTAGGGGGCAGGCGGGGAGGAGTGCGGGCGCCTTTCCACCTTCCGTTTTTGTTCTTCTTGCTTCCGCTCCGCGCTCCATTGGAATACCCTATTTGCAGTGTGTTTATAAGGTAAGGCCCCGTATTATTTTAGTTCATGGTCTCTACTGTAGAATTCAATAAATATTTCACAAAACTGTCTCCTAGGGACCACAAATATTTTAGTATTTCAACTATATAACAGAATTTTTGGGGTTTTCAAGTTTAATTCTAGTAGGCAGCGAGGTTTCAGTCTTAATGCTTAAACTAAGCAAGGTTTTAGATTTCACACTCAAATTGAGCGATGTTTAATAATTATTAGCTAGGATAGAAATGACTTTCTATATTCAAGACAGTGTACTAAATTATGGTGCTGTCTAGAAAAAAAGAATTCTCATACAATTGCAATAGGGTATTCCAATGGAGCGCGGAGCGGAAGCAAAAAGAACAAAAACGGAAGGTGGAGTGGCGCCGCACTCCTCCCCGCCTGCCCTCCACTCCTCCCCGGGCGCTCCCCCACTCCGCCGAGTCGAGGAGAGGGGGACGGCCAGGGCGCCTTTCCCCCTTCCGTTTTAGTTCTTCTCACTAGCGCTCCGCGCTCCATTGGAATACCCTATACCTACTTGTGATAAAATTACGAAATAAGTCAGAAAGTTACGACTAATTTTGTATTGTTACGATATTGAATAGTAATATCTATCTATAACATTAGGGGAGAGCGGGGCAGTTTGAGGAACGTTTCGTTTTTTGGCTCTAAAAACTGAACTATTTGTCGCACAGACGTGACGTTTTGACACAAAGAAGGTGGCATTGGCATGTATCAACCCTT